TATATATATATATATATATACGTGTGTATGTGTGTGTGTGTGTGTGTTTTATTTCTAGATTCATTTCCTTCTGGTCATAACTTTGATTGTGTGCCATCGATAAGTTCTCTTGCTCTTTAATTCTCATCCGTGTAATACGCAGGTCCTACCTACATTCGTTCAATTTCTTCCCTTTTCTCAAGTCTTTTTTTTCATCCTTCTCCCACGCGTCAGCGCAGCGTCGAGAATCCGATCTGTCTTTCCGAAGCGGGGTGTCTTCGCGACGGAGCTGACGCGACGACTATTTTGTCGCCCGCTTCTCTCTCATTCGCTTTCTCTCGCCTCTCTTTCCCCAAATGTGCCGGCTTCCTCGAGCGTGCATGTGCGGCGCGAGATCGCGCGCTATTATTAGCGCGTGGAAACCTCAGCATGGAATTCGAAGGATTCGTTTATTTTCTTCGGTGTCGCGCGCCGTTAATTACGAAACACGGCCGCGATTTTATCTCGCGCACCTTCGTGATCTTTTTCTGCGGAGGTGTCGCCGGCGGATCGGTCGCGCCTATTCGATACGATTTTCCAGCCATAAACGCTCGATATTATCGATAAAACGTGCTTGTGGCGCGCTCGACTGTAACGAATCGTCGTCATGATTAGGCCACCGGCGCCAGTGGGCACTCGCGTGAATAATCACGTTCACGAGCGTCGTGCTTACGTAGAAAAAGCCGCACTTTTCTCAGCAATCTCGTACGGAATATCGTCTTTAATCTTTCAAACGATTAGAGAATGTCGATAGGTACTTGCTCGCCAATTTTATTAGCTTTGCCGAGGCGAGCGATACGGTCGCAGGCGATGACTTTGCGGGATTTTTGATCGAGCATTCGCTCATTTGATTTATCATGATTTATACTCATTTCTATCAATGTAGATCAGGTTAATTTACTCTTTTTTTCTAATTCTTAGAACTAGAACAAGATAAAAAGTAAGGCAAGAAAAACCAAGATTGAAATTTTTTATTTGTTTTCTAATTCTTAGAACGAGAAAAAGATAAAAAGGTAGTTAAATTTGTAAGATTGTAGTCTACATTGATAGAAATGGACGTAAGTGTCCCTGGAATAATGTCCAACAAAATTATTTTCAAATCTATATGCAGCAAAATTTTAGATCTTTCAGCAAAATTGTTCTTTCCATGTACATTTTGTACGTCATTTTAAGGGACTTTGGTTGAGACTCAGCAGACTCTGCATTTCTAGACACTAATCATGCAATGAGAAATGATAATCCATGACTGCGTTCAGCAGACTCAACAGTTGTAATTGATATCAATGTATTCTTCTAGATTATCCAATCGGACATTTAGAATACATTAATCTATAAGAATACATCAATAACAGCGAATGCTCACTCAACTGTTGAGTCTACTGAACGCAGTTCATGATAGAAGGGAGCATCGGCTCCGGACGTAATTAGCCGGTATTTATTTATCGATTCACGTGGCATATGTACATGAATCTTCCTATCTGATTATGAGAAATATTATAAATACGTTCTCGAAGCGTGGTCCCCGCCGCCGACTAATGCTCGTTAATCTTATACGGATTAAACTTGTTGTTATAGAATATTTATTATATAAAGTTTTCTATTTATAATCTAGGGCGTGCCGTCTGATGCCCGAGTGCAAGTGCACACGTATGGTGTGTCCAAGAAACGCGAGTTAAAATTAAAACTAAAAAACATAATTTCGCGGTATTGGACATAACTTCTGATATTGTATAACTTTTGTCCGTTCAAACGCTTTTCATAGGCTTTCTCTACAATATAAGTCCATTATTACCTTCAAAATATTCAAAATTTAAAAATTTATATTTTTAAACACTTTTTTTGCTGTAATTTACAAAATATATTCGAATGTCTACCGAAGAATTTAATTAAATAATGGGTTTTCTACAATACAAAAAACCATTATCTAACCTTAAGTTAAAAAGATTGATCAATCACAGTTGTGAGAAAAATAATCGAATTCAATTTTTCACGGCTTAAGACTTAAGTCCAATTAAACCCAAATCTTCAAATATATTTTGTAAATTGTAGCGAAAAAGTGTTTGAGAATATACCCTTTAAATTTTAAATGTTAAGTACATACATTATATTTGAAATATCTAGAAACCAATTATTCTTCTTTTCAATTTTATATTATTCCGATCGACACGTTTTGATATAATTTTCTTTCATCAAAACTCGATGTACTTACTGAAATCGCCGTATCGCCGTGGTTCGCACGATCGAATTCGTTCGGCTTGATGGCGGCGATGGCGACGGGTTAAACGATCGTCGGGGTTACGTAAAGGCACATTTTACTGGCGCCTGCTCGTTCGCTTCCTCTCTCGTTCCCGCCCGCTTTATAGGACGCGACGCTTTTTTGCGGACAAAGTCACGTCACCCAATAAGCCAGGCGACGGACCCGAGATAGTAACGAGCCACAAGGTTCCTAAATTCTTCAATTTCTTTAAACATGACGAATATCACGGCGTAAATAGAGTAGACGTGTGTCAAATTAAGCAGAGTTATTTTCTATTTATAAAGACATCATTTCAAAAAGATATCTTTGAAGAACATCAAAAGCTGACGTTTAAGTTAAATATGTAAAATTTAGTATCATTATATTATGGAACAACAAAAGATAACAAAAAATCGGTAATTATTTGAACCTCGTTGAAATATTTTCTTAAATGGTAACGTTTATATTTGCGATATTTTCTTCATTAAGTTTCCTCAGGAATACACAAGCTTGTGCAGTTTATTGATGATTCACTGTTGGTTCTCGCTTTCCCATCATACGTCAAGTATTGATGAATGAATTTCTTTTGAGCACATCCGTTTCGTTTCTTTGTATTTCACAGAAAAACTCTTGGCAGGTATGACAAATTTAGATTTTGTGGGAAAGTTAAAATAGGCAAAATAATCTCTTGGCTTAACCACTTATAACTGTTAGAACGTTAAGACGATGTTATAAGGTTAACCTAGCATAAACTCTAAGTGAAAAAAAACTCGCACTCGAAAAAAGAAAAGATTGACGTCTATAAGATTTGAATGTCTACCTGTCAACATTGTATTTGAATAGAAGAATGACTTTTTTTTTCAAAGAATACTCAAAAAGAATACACGGAAAGAATACACAGTTTTACTAAAGCGTTTAAAAATTTAATTGGATACACAGATCTGAAAATAATTTATTAAATTATATCAGTAACTAATTAATTGCTAGAATATTAAAATATTTTCAGCATTAATTTTTTTTATCATATTAAATTATGCGTGAAACTAGATAATTATTTTGATAATTATTTTCAGATCTGTATTTTATAATTAAATTTCTAAATGTTTTCTAATATTTATATATTTGTTTGCTAATATTTCAGCAAAAAATCATTCTTTCTGTATTTCTTTCTGATATTTCAAACTAATTATTTTTTAATTTGAACTAAATTATTTTTAATAAGATTCTTATTGTTTAAATTATATTTTTTTAATCAAAAATTTATGACAATATCATAATTTAATTTTATAATATGAAAGTTGTCAGTTCAACTTTCATCCATTATTAAGCGTCATTTTATATGTGTACAGCTATTGTTGTTAATATTTTATATTGTAAAAATCTATTATCAATGAGCGCTATCTTGCAGAATTTTATTCTGTGATTTTACGGCGACATTTTTTATCTGTCATGGAAGTAACAGGTGTTTCTATTTCTCATTCACCTGTTCGGCTTTCTCGGCGATGGAAAACTGTTGGTACTACGGTCCTCTCTCTTGTACGTATTGTTATTTGTCTACATTTTTAATGTAAGCAGGTAGACATTGGCCTACCGTTAATAAATTCTGTTTTACACTGGTCTGAGCCTTTAAGCTGTTAGCTTGTTAGCATCGAGCAGGTGACGATTAGCGCTCGGTTTGTGGCCTGGTGTTACAATGTAGCCAGTTACGACGTCAAATTATTCCATCATGTAGACACTGATGGCGCCGACTAGACATGTTCGATAAACGTTAAACAATATTGTGCGAAAAGTCCCCGAAAATGACATGTGTGCTAATGTAACTCGTTCTTTAC